TAAGACCCAGGTGGCAGGGGCCACCCTCCATCAGAGGAAGGCGCCAAGTATGTGCAGTGCTAAATTAATCCAAGGTCACTGCGGCAGAGGAACCTAGCAAGGAGCCAGGCTTCTCCTGCACATCACGACCCACCAACAGCATGCCCTTAATTGAAGGCATTGGGTTTGAATTTGAGTCATAGTGCCATATTTCAGTCTTTTGTTTGCCAAGCCGCCAGTCAACTTAAACTAAAACATGTTTTTGGAAAAGACTTTTAGGGGTTGTAGGAATGCAGTAACTTGCTGGAAACATTCAAATGGACTTAGGGTGGTAACGCAGAAAAAAATAACGTGCATTGGTTTAGGCTGTGATTTTCTTTTGGGCTGCAGAGGGATAGAGAGTGGGGTTGCAAGCTTTTGCTTGTCCTTTCTGATCTGCTAGCACAGATGGGCCAGTTCTCTCCAGTCAGGAGGTGGTCCTCAAGGTTCTCCAGAACCTTTCAGGTCTAGAGGTGGCATCTGCATCCCACAAAGAGAGCTGGAAGACCTGGTCAAAGGGCATCCTGGCATTAAAGCATGAAAACCCTTTCCTGCATGTGTGCCTTACTGTGTCTTGTTTAAAAACGCAATGTGCAAAATCCAGCATTTGGGCTTCCAATAGTTTTTTGAGCTGGTTCCCAAACTTAAAAACACGGGGGTCACCAAAGGGCAGATTTAAGTAGCAATGCATGGACACCACCTTCAGTTAATTAAATCATATGCCCGAGAGGTGGCCTTCTGTAGGGAAACCAGCTTTGCAGGTGATTCTAATGTGCAGCCAGTTCAAACGAGAACCAGTGGGCCACAGCAGGCTTAGTTCACACAGCTGTGAGTTGATGTGTGGTCTCCAAAACCCTCTCCCAGCTTATTGGAGACCCACTTTCTCCATTGGCCTTTCTGTGCCCTAGCTGAGTTAGTCAGCACTCACCTCCTCATGGGGACCAAGTTCCAGCCCTACCACCAGCCCAGCCCCTGGAATGCTCACCGACTTCCCAAGGGAGTTTCCAAAATGTGTTGGTCTTCAGGCATGGTGTAAACCAATTTTTAAAATGACCTTTCATAAATGGGTAAGTTGTTGCCTCTAAAGGTTTTAGATCATCCTTAAAAACCACAGTTAAAATTGTATTTAAGCCATTGGGTGTGTGTGTGTAGAGAAGGGGATGAAGGCAGCGAGTATAATCTGAAGCCTATTAAAATAAGGTACAGATACTATATGAAAACCTTTCCTTCCCAGCTTATATTAAAAACTTTTGACTCCATAAATTCCACAGAACTTTTGTACTTACAGATAAAAATTAGACAATTTTGAGATAGCGGTGTTGGCCACCTCTTTTATTCCCTCTGCGTTGTCTGTTTCTGAAGAGGGAAGCCAGCATGAACACATTTTGTAAAAAATGTACTTGGCTTTAGGGGCACCTGGGTGGCTCAGTCGGTTAAGCTGTCCAACTTTAGCCCAAGTCATGATCTTGTGGTTCGTGAATTCGAGCCCTACATTGGGCTCTGTGCTGATGTCTCAGAGCAGACCCTGGAGCCTGCTTCAGATTCTGTGTCTCCCTCTCTCTCTCTGCCCCTCCGCATTTGCACTTTGTCTCTCTCTCAAAAATAAACATAAAAAAAAATTTTTTTTAATGTACTTGGCTTTAAAGAGATTAAAAAACATTTTTTAAAGGCCTTCAAAGTTGGTTCAGTTGTTCACTGGAACTAAGGAATCACTATGGTACTATATTAGACCATTATGTCCAAGTGGTAAGATGGGGAGGACATATTGGCAAGCTACTTTGCAAAGTTGGCTTAAGGGTAAGAATATATGAGATGTGCATTGACTTCCTTAGAAGAAAACCCTCAAAGCGCAGTGCCTATCATTAAAATGTTTTAAGCTCTTTATAAAAATAACATTATTTCTCAAATTATAGAGGACTCTTAACAGTGAAAGGGAAAAAAAAAAAAGATTGTTCTTTCCAAAATAGAAACACTTTTCCACTATTGCTGAACCTGACAGCTCTGAGAGCATTCAGCAGTTTCTCTAACTTCAAGATTATTTGAGGGAAAGTGCTCACATTTTATAATTAGATACTATCAGATACAAGTCCTCTATGCTGAGTCTTAATCAAGTGGCAGATTTCCCATTAATCTTTTTTTTTGGAAGTAGAAAAACATTTATCAACTGAATTGAAAAGGCATATTAGGGAGAATCAATGATAATTTAGGTGAGTAGGCAATAATAAATATTAGTAGCTGACTCTGAATAATTGATTCCGATTTTCAGGGTATCTTCATATATAACATTACTGAGTTCACAGCTACCCTGTGAAGTTGAGGTTGTTCTAAATCCTTCTTACGGAAGGGGCGGCTGAGCCTTAGGCTGTAATAGTATGAAAGTTGCGGGGCTGGGGCCTGACCTCAGACCATTGTACCTTCAGTCCTCTGCTTGCAGAGAACTTACTGTAGCAGTGAAGAGTGTGGACTCTAAGACTGACCAGGTTTCAGATCCCGATTTTGTCGCTTATGTAGCTTTGTGACCTTGGACAAGCCATTTTACTTTGCTGTATTTCTGTTTATTGAAACACACTTCATAGGGTTAATGGACGAATAAACGTGAAGGCACATAATCGCATGAAGATAGAGTTTTGCTATTACGACCTTGTTCCTTTGCTGTATTTCTTGTGAAAGGGAAAACAAGTACGAAGACCCATCTACAAATTGACTGTTTTGCTGATCAGTTTGTAATTAAGACATCAGAACTGGGTGTCCTCCTCTGACACCTAGAAGATGGAAAGTATTCATATTCTTAGCAACAAGAGTTTCCAGCTCTTGCTGGGCCTGTCTCCAACCAGCCTGGGCTGGGTTGCAGGCCACAGTGACCTCCCTGAAATGGCAGAGTCACACTGACTGACGTGAACATTTCATCAAGAAGGTCTCTTATTCTCATCCCTTTTGGATTGGAATAAGGGCTCAGCTGAAAGCTGACAGATTTACTCATGTGGTCACAGGCTCAGCTCAGAGCTTCTAACCTACAAGGAGGCTTGGGTTTTTATCAGGTCAGCAGGGACGGCCAGGCCAGCATCTGCCCTGATGACAGGTGAATGATCCAGGCCTCAAGGGGCCTTGAATGTCATTGCTCTGGCTGAGCCGTGGCAATCATGTGACTCAGTGACGGGGCACTGAGAAGCATAACAACCCAGGAAAAAGAAGATAAAAACCCAGCCACCCAACACCCACAAGGGGTAAATTCCCTCCTACATTTTTTTTTTTTTAATTTTTTTTT